TGAATCCGGAATAGTTTTTGCAGAGTAACTGGATTTACCCTGCTGGTAATCCCAGCTGCGTAGAATGTAACCATTCCTCACCCTTCCTGAGCCATTTACCCTGTAAATACAGCCCCCCCATCCCTCTTTTCCACCAGTCTTGTTGCACTTGTCCCAGGCATCCCCTTCCAAACGTAGCCTGAATCCTGCTGGGTGCTCTGGTGATTGCGGCGAGGGCCACAAGTGGAGATGTGTCCGTCAGTGCTGCCAGGAGGAGGTGAATGGCTGCTGGGTTTGGTCAGTTGTGCAGAGCTCAGAAATCTTGCTGTGTTTGAGACTTGATCTTGTTTGTCAGACTTTATTGAAATTGGCCAACAAATGTGGGAGAGATTAGGGAGACAGATGCATAATGTGATCTTAAGAAAATGGGTAAAAATAAGGTAATAAAGAAACAATGATAAAGGTTTTTCTTCTAGTTAAGAAGGAAACTTCTGTGTCCTTTTGTCTACTTTTCATTTTAATGGGCAGTGTTGTCATCTTATTTTTGGTTTGCTTATTATTTTTAGAAAGTGTGGGTACACTTTCGAGAAGCTCCTGGCAGTAAAGGCGTTTTCAGTGAATCAGTCTCTTATGTGGAAAAAAACCAACAAACCAAACAACGAAAAAGCAACATTGCATGTAGCTATAAATGGAAACTGATGTCTCTTATCCATGAGTCTGCAGGCAAACCTTATAAGCCGTCATTAGTTAAGCACCTGTGTTATAGGTATATAATATTCTACTTCACTTTTATTCATGTTATGGTAGGCCCTGTCGTATTGCAGAGAAAGCAAAAATTTCAGGCCTGAAGAGCTGTAGAGTTAAATGTCACGTGCAGGTGGGTTTCCAGGGCACAAAGCAGACATGTGATCTGTAGAGGAAGGAGGAGATTCTCTTTTGAGTGAAGATGGGGGTTTTTATGATGATAAATGTGTGTTTACTACAAGCATCGCTACTTCAGCTCATTTCACAGCCTGTTTGTAATCAGTTGTTCAAACTGATGTTTGTTTACTCGTATGAGTGTAGAATTACGATGCCAGCAGTACTGGCAATGCAAACCGCGGTGTTCCAGACTTACTGCTGTGCTTGCTCACAGTGAAGTCATGACACAGCTAGAGCACTGATCGTTCTCTTGCACACAGGAACACAGATCTCCCTTTTTCTTTCATATGCAGAATATCTCCGTTGTTTTCCCCTGGTTTTGCTGGGTGATTCTCAGTAAATCTTTGCAAGAACTAAATGATAAGAAAGGAAGGCTGCCACCTGAAACAGTCACTTCCATTTGCTCTTTAATGTTGAAAGCGTTGTTATTCCCTCACTCCTTTTGCAATTGCTTTTGCTCGGAGACTAGAACAAGGTGTAGGGCTGAAGTCGTCTTTGTTCTGCGTGGTGATGGCTTGTTGCAACTCCTCCTATTTGGCGAGAAGAGATGTGTACTTAAAATGTCTTTTGAAAGCTATAGGAGCTGTCGTGGCGGGAGACAGATCTCGTCTATGAAAAGTTCAGCTAAGCCCGCACAGCATAAACAAAACAGGGTGTAGCCTCACTGCTGCGTAAGACATCACGCATGGCGCCAGAGAGCTGTGGGACCCTCCACGCAGGCGTCTTGCCTTTTCCCTGGTGACCTTCTTGGTCCTTCTTTTCTTGGCAGTTTTGCATTTTATTTCTACTGTATTATCCTCTCCTGAGATTAATAGTGTTTTCTACCTCTTCATGCCAAAAAAACCCTGCTCGGGATGTGTCTCTTAATTCATCATTCTTACACCTCAGAGGATGACATTTACAAAGGTTATAAGGAGGATATAATAATTTTGGTGTAAATTTAAATGTACTCATTGCTCATGTACATAGATAAATGTATTTGCTTCTAAGGCAAGTAAGTTCTTAGGATTTTCTGTCAGGAATCATTCCCGAGTGTCTATAGTCTGAACTGGAGGGACTAGGTGCTGGGAGTTTTAATAACTTAGTATTTTACTTTTGTCTTATTTGTAAAAATAACTGCCAGGTGTTACAGAAGATGAGAGAGCTGCAGAACTGCAGAAAACAAAGACAATACCACCTGTAAACAGGCTGACTGTGGATATGGTGGAACTGGAAGCTCTCAGAAAGTCTGTGGAGGACTTTTTCTGCTTTTGCTATGGTGGGTACTTTGAAATCTTTGAAGCAGCTGTTCAGATTTCTAAATTTTTATTCCAGTTGGGAAGAAAGTACTGCATGACTTTGCCTTCCAACTATACTGCTGTTAAGGTGATAAGTTGGACTTTGTAAAACACGCACATCTGTCGGATAGTTTTCTTCCTGATGTGTTTTGTGGGATGTGATTTGCGATCCTTGCACAGCCCATTTAGTTTTCTTCCAAGAAAGCCTCTGCATCTCAGTGGGTGCCAGCCCACGTTAGTGCGAGTGGTGCTTGGTTCCCTGTCGAGATTGCATCTGCACCTTGCTTTCGCTCCTGTCCTCTCCAAAGTAAAAAGTTTTATGAGGGACTCATCCTTTTGGTAACTCGAGTGCTCTTGACCTCAAAACAATCTTTTTTTTTTTTTTTTTTACCCTAGGTAAAGCTTTAGGAAAGTCAACAGTGGTGCCTGTGCCGTATGAGAAGATCCAGAGGGACCAGTCTGCTGTGGTAGTGCAGGGCCTGCCTGAAGGACTTGCGTTTAAACATCCAGCAAATTACGATGTTTCAACCTTGAAATGGATTTTGGAAAACAAGTCAGGGATCTCATTTATCATCAAAAGGTTATTTGCTGTCTCTTGTGCTTGTCTGTTCACTTAAGTCCAATTAATTTTAGTTTTTAATTAAATACATTGCAGCCTGTTTCTCTTTAATGCTACACTCTCTTTAAGTGCACTTCAAGTGTTCTCTCTTTAATGTTACACTACCAAGTAATGCCTTTGCTAAAGCTATGGGTTTTTCTTTCCGTGTTTCCACACAGGCCTTTCCTAGAGCCGAAGAAGCACCTAGGTAAGTTACTACTTACTCAGACTAAACAGAAACAGATCAGAATTTTAGTTTAGATAGCAATATAGACAAAAGATTTGGTCATGTGGATAAAGTGGCAAACTGCAGAAGTTCCTAGACTACGAGTTGCCTTACTTATGGAACTATAACCTTTTGCTTTATGCGTTCTGCCAGAAGCAATTAATTAGAGATAAAATTTGTTCTATTGCATTCTTCATCCTTTTACTGAATTAAAATTTAATGTGAATTGGATAGTATCCTAGGGAAAGGAGAATTGAACTGATGAAGGACTGCCTTGCATTTTTAGAAGATGCCTAGACTTTTGCAGTGCTCTGTGTTCCAATACATGGCTGATTTTGGCATTTATATCTCATTTTAAAAGTTGATTTAATCTTCTGAAGTGGCTAGGTGTTATGGTTCCTATGAAAGCCACTATATTAAAATCAGCTAGAGCAAGGTTTTTTTTGAACTCCACAAAGATTCACTTCACTTTCTAGCTTAGAAGAAAGTCCCTTCTCCTAGTGCTTTCATGGGATCATGTTGCTTTACTTGCAAAATTCGTGTGTGTGAGGATTTGCTTTATGAAGAGAGTGAAGCAGTCTCAATAGGAATGTAGTCAACAAAGGAAAGTTTCACTTTTGCAGGTGAAACAGCCAGAAATTGATGCTGGATTAGTAAAATTAGAAATGTGTTGCCTGTGCCCAGTAAGAAGACTAGAGGGTGGGAAATTACAGAGATTCTGGTAATAATATATTTCTATTGAAAAGGCAAGGCAGGCTTTTAGTGTGGTAAATGATGTTCTAAAAACATAATCTCTTCGTGTCTAGCTGTAATTTAGGACTAAGCTGAATCTCTGAAACTATCCATTTTCTTTTAGCAGAGTTTAGGTGAAAGGTTTGTTTACCTTTGTTTCCCAGGATTTTCACTTAGCACCATGAAAGAGAGCAGTGAAAAGCATGGTGAAACACACATTTGAAGTCATTTTACACTGGTGTTGCTTTATAGATTAATAAAGCAGTTTAACGAGATCTTTCCCTCATGTCTGTGAATACAGAAAATACGCATGTACGCTTGTAAAATGTGAGCAGGTTTTCACTTCATGAAATTGATGTTACATTTTCAATTTGTATTTAAAGTAAATGGAGTACAGGAAATTCAAAGATTGTCTTTTAACTTTCAGGAGCTCATATGACAGATCCTTCACATTCAATTATACCTCCAGGTGGAAGGTGAATTTAAAATGTCTTTTTTTTGTACCAACGATATGTTTTCATATAGTTTATCTTTCTCTTACTGTGTTTTTTCTGTCCAGATGACCTTTGGATAACTTTTGCTTGCCTGGGATTATAAAAAGCATGAAACTGAATTTTCTCTTTCTTTTGACCATTATTTGTGGGGAAATTGTTATGCATTAAACAGATGGCAAAGTTTCCCCTCGGTTTAATTAGCCCAATGAATGTTCTAATTCACAGTCTGTCAGTCAGGGATAACTTTGTCATGTTTTATGATATGGCAGTGATGGGGAACAGATGTAATGTTGCCTCTTTCCTCCTCCTCAATTAAAAAAACTAAAATAATTTTTTTGTTAGTAAATGAAGAGATTATATCTGGAATAAATCAAAAATTGGTTAATGTGAAAATGGGGATCAGTTTTCTGTGCTTCTGAGTTTGCTTCTCATTAAATGGTAAACATGCTTTGAATATTGTATATGTCCCAAAAATGTAGGGATAGGAGATTCCTGGCAATTTTCTTGAGAGAAATCAGATAAACCAAGATGCAGGGGTTTTCACTTGTGTTTCTAGTTGGAAAAAAAATACTGGGAGATTGATTGTACTTGACAACCTGTAAAGCTTGAGGAACTTTCCAGAAATGTGGAATTTTTTATAATGCCAGTGTGATTGATATGTTTATTTTTGTAGTTGTCCTCCTATTCAAGTGAAAACGGAACCAAACGAGGATTCCGGTATGTTCAAAATTTTGCCCTTGTTTGCAAAAAAAATGATCAGTTTCTGTTCAGAAGGCTGAATTCAAGCAAAGATAGGAAGCTCCAAGAAAAAAAGCAGCAAAAAGCCATCCTTTGTGAGAAGGAAAAACTTTTCTTTCTTTAAAATTGTCCGCTTCAGTTAGAGTTTTTATTGAGTATTGAACCTTAGCCAAATGTTTCCATTTCTAGAAAGAGGAGACCTGTAAAATTTTGTAGACTAAAATAATTTATCTCTAAATAGTTTAGTTTCAAGTGGAGAAGAAGAAAATCCTCTGGTATTTATTTTGTTTTCATTCAAGATTACTTTGTCCCTGATGGGGAGAGAAAAACTTTTATTTGTTAATATTACTAAAATACTGAAAATGACAGAATGTTCATCTTCTAGCTAAAATGGAAAAAAATAAATAATAAATAGTAAACCGTGTTATTTCTTATTAGAAAAACACCCCAGCATTCCTAAGTTCCCCTGCAGGTAGGACATGATCCTGCAAGGCGCTGTGATCTGCAGCAGAGCAATGCTTCAGTGTATGCTTTGAGGTAAAGGCACGAATAATCCCATTAAAGCTGGTGAGACGACAGGTGTGCTTAGAGATAAGCTGGTGACGTTCCCTTTTATTGGGCTGGGCTACACTGCTCAGCATTTTGTGTGAGAATTAAGTTTTTATATTCAGTCCAGTTTTTTGCTCTAGTTCTTTGTGCTTCACAACTTTAAACTTGCGGATTGGGAACCCTTCATGGTTAACTTTTAGTTTAACGTGTGCAAACAGTTAACTTGAGCCTTTTGTCAGAGTCAGTCCCAGACTCTTTCTAGTGCTGCTTTCTAGGCATTTAAAGTAATTCTCCTTTTGTCAGAATGTTTTGGAAACATTTTAGGGACTGCTGTGAAGGCTTATGGAAAGGATATTTCACATGAGGGGAGCCAAGAACACTTGAGGACCTTTGGTGTTGCTCCATCAGCAGCACAGTTTGATGCAGACTGTACCTGAACTTGGCTGTACAGAGGAGCGAGCAGGAGTGGGTCTAGAAGTACTTTCAGCACAATGAGTGACGAAATGTTTTGGAGTTTTTTTTGGCTGTGGTAGTGGGCAAAAAGGAAGGAAACTACTTTTTTTTTTTTTAGGGTTTTTTTGTTTTTTGAGGTTTTTTTAGTTTTTCGGATCCGAGAGAGCATTTGCAAGGCTGCCTGTTTTGTAGGGAAGCATTTAATCCTGAATCCCTTCTGACAGTGACCAAACTGAAACACAAGAAACCAGCGGGTCACTTTGTTACCATTGTTTTAGCCCAACAATTGTTTAGTGTCTCACCACCTGAAAATCTTTTTTGTTTTTGTTTTCTCCTTTTTTTGGAATAGAGACCAACTAGGATCTTGGTGGGTGTTTGTTCATTTTTGTTTTTAAAGAATCTGGTTGTTATTAGTTTCCATATTTGATTCCTTTGTGACTTCTACAGGAATTTCTTTGGAAATGGCAACAGTAACAGTGAAGGAAGAATCAGATGATCCTGACTACTATCAATATAATATTCCAGGTAAAGATACTAACTTTCATATGTGTTTATCTGATGAAAGGGTGGGTTGCTTAAGCGTTGTGCTCTCTGTGCCTTTCACTTTCCTTATTCTTGGTCATTAAATGTGCCATTACTTAGCTCTGTTAAGATGCAACATTTCCATGCTGGCTATCATTTAAGTTATTCTGAAGAATACCAAAAGAGCTGAAGTACAACTTCAGCATACCCATATGTGTATGTCTGGGCTGAAGGAGAAATTCCAGGAGTCTGTTGAACTGGTGTCACTTTTTTCTGAGAGTCCAGTATGCAGACACTAATTCCGATGACCTCTTTAAACAGGAAATAAACCATAATAACCATGCTGTCTAGAGCACTGCTTCAATCTTTCCTTTAGTTTAAAGTTTCGGTAACTTTTATAGTGCATCAATCGCTTTTCTTGTATGGAATGACCAGTATGTGTCAAAACTGTATTGAAAGGTTTATTTGTATAAACAAAGCATAACAATGTTTGTGAGGTCTGTGACTCGGGCGCTGTGTATGTTTTAAGGTATTTCTCCATTGCTTTGCCTCATCTCTATGTATCCAGTTCATATTGCGTGTTAACCTCAGCTAGGAGTGGAAAAAAATAATCGTTATTTCTGTAGGTCGAAATGAACAGTAATTAAGAAGTCGTGATTATACATAGCAATATAAAATAAGGAGAACACTAAATTTATTATTTCAGCCTGTTTGCATTTGTCGTTAGGGTAATTGAGCAATACAAATGAACACAGGCAAGCTGCCACGCATCTCTGAAGGATAGCTGCGTGGTCAACAATGAAGTGCAAACAGCACATCCTTTCACTTTGTAATGTTATGTATTATTGAAATAACATTTTTGTGCGTGTTTAGACACAAAGATTCTTGAGATTATTTTCTAATGTGCTTTAATAACTAACTACAGGTTTGTAGAGTCAGTATTTTCATACTGACATGTCTCGAGTAGTGTACAAGCACTGTTCAGAGATCTTATCTGTACAGCATAGCAAAATGTCACCACTCCCGTTCAGAACGGGAAAGGTGAATTCTCTGGTGTTAGCATTATGTTTTCTTCATATTTGTACAGCCCCTAGTCTCAGGGGATGGGGGGATTTACAGGCACAACATAATGTAGTAAAAATAGATACTTTTTTTGGAGACAACCTAATCGTTGTTCCTTCCAAAGCCAAGTCCTGTCATGTTTTTGCTTTTCATCCCCTCGTGGCTTTCCATTTCATGTGTAAAAACGGTGTCAGAATTTGGCCAATAGCCTGAAGTGTAATGCAATGCCGTTTGAAGAGAGTCTGTACTGAAATCACTTCCTTACAAAATTGTAACCCATTGTACTGCAGTGTGTTTGTCTGAGCTAAAATACCCTATTTATGCAATATGCTTCTGTGGTGAGGTCTAGGCAGTGTGGATTTGGTGGGGGGGATTTCTGTTGTGTTTTGTCTAACTCTGTATCTAAATCTTCTGATTGGTGAAGAGCAATATGTACCTTTTTCAGATAAAATGGTGCTCAACTAATACCTCCCCCTTTCCCCCTCCCAGTGTAGTCCTCCAAACTTGCATTTAAAAGGAGACAAAACTGAGTATATTAGTAGAAGTGATGGGGTGTTGTGAGCTAGAAGAGATGTTACCATGTCAAGTCATGCTGCCTTCCCTGGAGTAAAGTAGCTTCCCCTTCATTTCTTGGAGTTGCTACTGCTTAGATTCAAGCCAAAGGTTGTACAGAGTGCAGAGAGATATAAATTCAAGAGGCTTGCAGGGGTTGTGTGTGCTTGATGGTGCTGTGCAGAGCAGTGAACCTTAGGAAAGTACAGTTATCCTGAGGTGTGTTGCAGAGGAATGACGCAAGTCTGCCCAAGCGTCGCCTTTGTAGAGACGTGTTACAAAATAAAGAAAATGGCTAGGGTCATAGTGCTTACTAAAAATATCCTGCAGCAAAAGCCGGGCTTATCGATTTATGAGAAGAAACAAGTTAACTGTTAGAGAACAGCAATGTGCCCAGGACTTTCTGGAGAAAATTATTTGCTGGTGAAATTTCATGGTTCTTGTTTTTCTGTGAGTCTTTGCTTCCTCTCACAAATCTGTAGTGCTGACCAAAGCACTGGGTGCAAAATTCTCCCATTAATCAAACGGGGAAAATTACACCTGTAGGTGGATGTTCTTTTCCTCTCTTATTAGGTCTGTTGCAGCGTTTGGATGTTGCCATGAGTTACTAAATTTCGAAATGCTTTAGCAGTACACAGTAAGAAGACTGAGAAATAGGGACTCTAGCCATCAAAAACTTCATGTAGGTGTTTTGACAGAGTATTAGGGGCAATTGTCCATCAGTGGGCACTAGCAGTATGGCAGTGGGTGGTTTTTTCCAGTATCCTGGATGCATGTGAACGTCACTGCAGTGTTAAGTGCTTTGGGTGACACCAAAGACAACCTATTCTGGGAGAAAGGCCCAGATTTTGACCGTTGACTAAATGAGGAAAAGGACTGAGCAGAGATCTGCAGGAACAAATAACGCATACTGGAGCATTCCAGCTGTCACAGTTAATATCCCTGCATATACCTTATCTATAAGTACCAGTTATTATGGCTCTTATGAAAAGAAACGTCAGTTAAAATGCTGTTTCTTAATTTAGTGGTTGAAATGTGTGGTTTAGTCCTTGAACTGTGGTTTGTGCTCTCAGATAAAGCATATTGCTATGCTGTGGGAAATTATCCATTTCTATGGCTCTTGCAGAGGGACCAGCATTCGTTTCTGCCAGAGCTCCAGACCAGCTGGAGGTGTGCAAGGTCTGATCAGTGCCAGAACAGCTCTGAATCAATGAACAGAGTAGAATTAAGACCTATACATTATTTTTTTTTTCCAATTTACAAAGAAGCAGGAATATGTTAAGAAAAGTTCCCAGGGATATGTACCACTTTCAGTCCTCTTCATCAGCACAGAGTAAACCAAGGTTTTTTGGAGACATAGCCCATGCAGAACTGAGTAATTTGCTGACTAAGGACCAAACATTTCCTGAAAGAGGCATGTTATCCTGTTGATTTTGTGGATGCAAGTCTGCAGTTACCACTGACGCCTTGAAGTTAAAACCAAGAGAACTGGAAGCGGAAGGAAAAGGCTGTAAACAGTGTGTCCTGTGAATTGGCCGGTTCAGCTCTCAAACCGCTGTCTAATGAACTGGCTGATTTAGCTTATAAACCACTTAGAAGTGAGTAAAAACTGCCTAACTTCTTTTCTCTTTAAAATGCCATATGGAAGAACAGTGCTATCAGTTTTGGTATTTCTGGAATTAGAATATAGGACATCATCCAAAAACAAATGAGACTGAAAATATCTTCTGCTGGAAAAAGGCCCAAAATGAGGATGTAAACTGTGCATTTATTCTCACTCTGAAACATTGAAAGTCATGAAGGTGTTTTAGTATGTCTGTAACAACAAAATATTTCTTCTTTGGAGATCTCCCAGAACATTAGAAGCAATGTCCATTTTGACGAGGCTAAAACTGTAAAGCTAGGCTGGCAGTAATCTAACCACCGTAATGTAAGGCTTGGCATGTAGATACTATCTTAAACTAAGAAATCCCAGAGAATATGTTGAGAAAACATAATGAAAGAACATAAAGAAAGCATAATGTTGCGCTTCCTAAAGGTGTTCTGATAGTACCTGGGTAATTACACGTTGTTCACGTTGCTACCATCCGTGTAGTGAAAAAAAGACCAGAAAAGTGGGCGTTGCTGACGATGCTAATCCATGAGAGGGTAAATCCATTTCTTCAGCCAAGTGGCACAGGTTTGGCTGTGTAGTGTTAGGACATAATCCGTTAGAAACTGAGGCTGAGAGATTTGAACTCAGTGTAAGTAAATGGTTTGTTGGGCGGTAAGCAGGAGTAACTGACTGTTGAGGGAAAGACATCTACTTTTGGTTTTAAAGGGGTTGTTGCGATGTGAAAAATTACATGTTTGTACCAGGCATTTCAGAAGTTCACAGTCTGTGGCAAGAGCCGTCTTTTACAAAGGTTTCACTTCCGTGCACAATCCCAGCCCCAGTACATGACGTAGGTGCGACGGTCTGTTAGGTATTTATCTGCTCGGGAAAGACCAAGTCTGAGCCTTACACAGTTTGTGAGGGTCTGTGTTGCGCAGCGGAGCTGGCTGTTAGCTGAAGAGCATACTTGGTGCTTTGTCTGGTACAAGTGGGTACTGCTTAGCTCTGCCTACAGATCTTAAGTTCAGACTCCAAGACATAACCATACTGCAAGATTTTACTTCTAATGTGTCCTGTGGTTTTAGTAATTAAATTTCCCACCTTTGTGTCCCTCCTTCCTCCTGCATCCTACCTGCTGCAGTGGGATTAACTTGTTCTCTCTCGAGTTTTCTTCTCTTTCCTTTTTTGCGATTTCCTCATTATTTAATTCTTAGATGCAGCTTCTTTTGATCTGATTACCACCACGCTTGGTTTATGCTTTTCTTAGTAGTGTGATGTGTGTGTATCCACCTGGTATGTGCAAGAATGCAGCAAAGTGGAAATGTATCTGCTTTTGTTAATATTTTCCTACTGGTAGAACTTTCAGAATTCTTTTAAATTTAATTTTCTAGCTTTTACCAAATTAAGCTGGCAGAAAATACTGGTTTACAATTTTTAATTTCTGAAACAGGTTTTTCATATTTTTTTCCACTGTCAAAGCTTCATTATATGAAAAAAAAGCTTCAAGTTTTTATAAAATAATCTGTGGGTCACTTTTAAAAAATCCCATGGATTTACTACATGTACTGTAGTTTTTAGTGACATTAAAGATGAAGGGATTGAATTCTCTGTGCTTAATCCCAGGGGTTGTAAGCCCCGTAAGCATCTTTTTAACTAGAGACATCTTTAAGTTTGAATGTGTCAAAGACTTCGATTTTTCCTTTTTGATTTGTGTCACAACATGTATGTTGCATGAAGATAATGCAATATAGAGACTACTGCAGAATATGTAGGTAAAACAGTCCTGTCAGGATTTCTGAATTAAGGAATAAACACAAAAATATGTGCCTATAATAGGGTATTTGCTTGTAATGGGATGCATGCTTCTGTGTGTCAGTGCATTGTGAATTATAATAATTGCATGTTTGGAAGAGTTCTTGGGAAACGACATAGCTGTCTGCCTGTGTACACTCAATATGTTTATTTAAATAAAAGCAAATTTAAGCCGTGGAGATGCTTTCCAGCACACCCAGGGAGGCTGCATGCGATTCCCGTGGTTGCAAATCGCACTGTTTGGATGAGGGTTTCTTCTCGGGTGGCCTAGAGCCCCACCAGTGTCTCTGCCTTCTGCCTCATTCCTTTTCCTCCCCCTGCTTTATCCCCTCTTTGGGCTATGGTCTTGGCTGGGCCAGGACCACCTTTCTGGAGCCGTGTTTTGAACCAAATCAGGGAGCTCCTCAGAGTTAAACAGAAACACAGAAAACCACCCCCACACATGCCCTGCCCCCAGCAAAGAAAAAGTGGCCAAGCAGATTAAAGCAGCCCTTGCTGAAAAAAATGCATGTAAAAAAAAGAACCTTGTATAGGTTCCTCACTTGAAATCTTGTTAATTTAAAATCCTTTTAAAATCTGAGCAATCAAATTAGGCAGAACTATCTCAAACCAGCATTATTGTAACCACCTAATCATGATTTTCTTTAATGCCCTAAATACTCATTTTCCTGAATAACTCATAGTGTTTGATACTGTATATGTGCTTTCAGTTGACTGAAATACTTACAAAGTCTGGTTGTGCCAACAGTCTTTTCTATGTTTTCTAGTTTACTGTGCATATAAATAGTTTAAAATATTTCACTTTCCTTAGTTAACAATAGCTTTTCTGTTGTGAAGCTATCAATATTCATTGCTGATACACTTACAAACCTACCTCTAAACAGCCATAATTTCCGGGGAGCTATATGCAGTTTGCTTTTGCAAATGAACACAGGAATCATTCGATTTACCCAGAACAGTTAGTCCAAATCCTTCGGTTCCAGTTAGTCATAGTGTGATGTTCCTGTATGCCACACATGGGCTAGCTTTATATATCTATGCCATTTCTGTGGTATAGAATGATCTCTTGCTCAGTGTGAAGCCACGTGTGCTGTAAGCAGTTCACCCTTTTCAGTGTAACTGAAAAGCGCCAAAGCATTAAGCAGTAGGATTTTAGGGGTGTTAATGTAATCTTTTAAGTGTCATTTGTGTGCTGCTTTCCACAACAGCCTTTTTAAAGCAGTCCGTACATAGCCATCAAAAGAGCTGCGTGATGAAAAGCAAACAACCTTGAAGTGTCATAAATGATTTTAATCTCTCTGAATTTGTCTATTTAATGTACGTAGAAATTTTAAAGTCAAAGAGGACTCTCTAGGAGTACAAATTTTAACAAACAGGAAAAAGATTTAGCTGGTTAAAAATTCATTGAATAAAGGCAGAACCATCAACATTTCATGCTTTAGAATTAGTTTATTAACACCAAAAAAATTGAAACCTGCTGTTCTGCATAAGTGACTGTTCAGTAGTCCAAGAAATGCACACCCCTGCCGTTAGCCCATCAACATTTTATTCTGTTGAACTGGGTAAGTATTTGTATCTTCTAAATGTTTCACACAGTTTTTCCTAAGTTCAGCGTTGCAGAAATTGTGAAATAAGCATATGATACATGAAGTTGAGAGTTATTTGGCAAATTCCTCTATGGACTGGGAAAATGTGTTTGCTGAGACACAATTTAAAAGCCGTTCTCTTTGTTCCCAAGCAGGCCCTTCCGAAACATCAGAGATGGATGAAAAAATTGCTCTTGCAAAAAGTTACACAGGTAGATCTTTTAGTTGTATTTTTCTCACATCTGTTTTGTAAATTGAATGTTTTACTTTTCAAGAGTTAGGGCATTGGAACTTCAACAGAAATGAAAGTTTCAGTGGCCTTAATTTCAGGTGTCCAAGTACGGAGACACATAGAAGGGAATCTCATTTCTTTCTTTTCTAAATTCGAAAAGGAACGTCAGGTTGGTCATTAGTAATTTGTGCAAGTTGATATGTTTCTTGTGAAATTCAGCCTGTTTCATATTTGGTTATAAAGTTTAATAAACTTCTCCTTATGTATTAAACTCGATCATTTCTTTCAGCTGTGTGTGAGGTAAGTGGGTATATACAGAACAAAGTATATGGACAGTCTGTGTTTAGTGGAAGGAGTTCCTTACTGTATATGAACAATATCTGAAATAAATTTACTCCAAAATCATACTTTTTTTTTTTTTCAGCTTCCTGTAGTCTGTATTAAAAATACTGGTTTGCCTGTTTGCAAACACTAGAAAATACTAATCTGTATTTCAACACGTGAATTTCTTTATGCCAGAGTGCTCCTGCTGTCCTGAGTTTATCGTTCAGAAGTTGAGCCTTCTGCATGTTGTTCATGTGAACAATGTAGTTTGGGATTTTTCGCTTACAAAGATCCTTGCTTTGAATAGTTGATGTTAAAAGTTCCTTTTGTATTTTTATTGTGGTATGTTTTTTTACTTTATGTTTGTCTAAAGGAAGCCGCCAGGATTCCAACTGCAGTGAAGGGACAGGTGTGGAAATACTGGTAGAAGGTTAGAGATAGGAAGTGTTTTTCATGAGCATAATTTAACATCATTGGATCTTTTTTGTACAGAAATATTTTAAAAGATGGCACCTTAATTAAAGTTGTTTAACCATTCTCCTTCCACATTTCCCCAAGGTTGGTTTTTGGGTTTTTGTTTCGTTTCGCTTTCAATCTCCCAAATCGTGCCACTCTGTGGCTTACTATAAGCCAGTTGTGATGGGAATTGTCATTGTTTTAAATGTTAAATTGCATTTGTAAGGTGCTTGTCACCTAACTTGTAATGCTTTGACATGATGTTCCAAGTACATCATTCTGCAGCTAGCTTCATTCTAAGCACCTGACTCTCAAACCAGAGTCGTGAGTACTTTTTGGATGTTAAGGCCAAGTTACGCTGGCAGCAATGCTCATTCTTGCAAATCCCAGTAGTTTTGCTTTGAAGGTAAAGATCACCATAGTTAAGGGTACCATTACATGAAATTTAAATGCATTTCTCTTGATAAAGGAGAATAAAGTTCTTAGCTCTTGCTGACTGCACTATTAACTCTAGTTATTTGAGAAGAAATAATCTAGGTACTTTGTTTTCCTAAGCATGATGCCATGAGCTTTATGCCTGACTTTGAAGAGAGAGCCTGAGGAAAGGGAAGTGTGATACAAAATGACTGAGACGCTGACTTTGCTTTGGTTTTGACTAGTAGAATTTTATAGCTACGGCTACTGAATGTGGCCCTTTGTGTCACAATAGGGTTTTGTTACACACCCTTTTCTTGACTCTGTTCTCTGTTCTCCTTTACGAGTTTCTGTAAGAGATATGCTGAAAGTTACGCCCTGGTTTTGCTGAATAAAATAAACCTGTTGTTTGTGAAGGTTAGTATTTATGAAGAGGTCTGTAGGCAGTGATTAAAAATTGCAGGTGACAATCTAACTTAAATTTTGTTTGCTGTTTAAGTAGGCATACAGTGTAGGCAGTCTTGCCTGGATTCGGTAAAATAAAATTATTTATTTATGATCCTCACGAAAACGAGTAAGAAAGAAAAATCTATGACAATGTTTGAATTTTATGATTTTGTTTGATTTTTATGAAAAACATCAGAGGGATGTAGGAACCTATCTCTTGGTGTCTATCACTGGGGGTTTTCACTGTTTTTCCCTTCCAGTAACCTTGACAAGATGGTGAAAAAGGAAGTGGCAAAACTAACAGGTGCCTGGAATTCCCCAGATTAGCTGTAGCTGATAAAGGTGTCTGAGGTCTTGGTGAGATTGGATGAGTGGGGAGCATGGTGTGATTGACGTTCAGCAATCAGAAAGTTAAGGTTATGTGCGTCAAAAGAAATTGTTTTAAACTGAGTGAAATCACGTTTAGCACTGTGAAGAAGGCTGCTGCTTAGGAGCTGTGTGTATTTACCTAAGGTCAAAAAATACCTAGTGATGATAATACTTTGTTTTAAAAAAAAAACCACACCCTTATTTTGGTGTTTAAACCAGTTGGTTTAATATGACTTGAGGAGAAATGTCCCATCTGGGAGTTTTCTTCCAGAACTTTGTTACTATCTGCCTTGACATTTTTGCATGTTTCTCTTAATTATGTCTATGTCCCAAGGATTTGGTGCTGGACTAGATGGACTGTTTGCGAGTCTTTGTGGCTGTTCTTAAATTTCCAAAAATTGTATGTCTTTCATTATTTTTTTTTTTTAAACTTTTCTGATGCTCTCAGAAAAGGTTCTAAGTGATCAGTTGATGTGATAGTTATTTTTATGACCATACTTTATGTTCACGTCTACTAAAAGACCATTACCTCCAAATTCTTTCCTTTTTGTTGTGCTTTGCATTTGTTAGTTCTCTACCCAGCACTCGCTCTGAATTAAATCAAAATATTATACTATGTTTTCCATGAACTATATTATATATTTTACATAGTTCAAATATACTCCAGTTAAGGTGTCTCAGTAGATACTGGTGAATCTCTACTATACAAAACATCATGTGAAGAGCCTTTGAAACAGAGATTTCTTCACACTTACTCCCAAAGTGATCTCATACTTCCAGCTTAAAGAGATCTGAAAGAAGATACTCTTCAAAATGCACCAGCACAGCGTTACTCTCCCAGAATAATTAAAATATATTGCTTCATACACTGCTACTTGGCTTTGAAATAGTTTCCAATATAACTAGTTTCACTTTTTAAAACTTTGCTAAATGCAAATTGCTGTTTCTCCCAACAGAGTTTTGATAGGCCTAATCCTATTTATTATGTTGTTGCAGACCAACAAAAGCACTGTGATTATGAATTTCCCTCACATTTTTCACTGTTGGCCTTACAGCCTGTTGCGGAAATCATTATAGTGCAGCAACTATGAGTCTGTGTAAATGGTGAAGAAATATAGCATCTGTAGGGGCACACAGCCTTTGTTCGTATTTTCGGTAATCCTTGATAACAAAAGGAAAAATATTTATGATTGTATTAATCCTATTACGCCGAGAATAAGGAATTTCCTACTGTCATTAACACCAACTCTGCGCTGCTGCACACGCAATTTAGCAAGTATAATCCCCACCTCCTCACCCTTGTCTAGAATTGCTTAAAGGCTTATGGTGAAATATCTGTGATTCTGTTTTTGTTGCATGCTGTGCAAAACATTTCAGCGAGCCAGAGGCTTCTTTGACAAGTGTTTTAAATACAAAATCACGGAGTGTTTGGTTAAAAATCTTTTCTGTGTCCATCATTCAGCAGTCCTGTTCTTCCGCTTCCAGATTCCTCCCAGCACGCCCCTTCAGAAACAAGTGAGGATCCTGAAGTAGAGGTCACCATTGAAGGTTAGTTCTCCAGTTGATTGATTTCAGTCCATTGGGCATTTTTATGTCCAAGAAATGTTTTACAATGCCTGAGTTATTTGGCACTGAATAAATAGGATTATGTGCCAGTGTTGACTGGAGTTTGGATCAGTCACTGCTTGGTAAACGTATCTAGTTCAGAAGTTTTATAAAACTACAATACGCTGAAGCATATTGGACTTACTGGGCTGGTTTTTGAAATGATGCGTGACAGAGATTTGCATCTTTCACATATTTTTCTTGCATTGTAGTGCAGAATACTCATTATTTAACAACCATTAATTTATATTTTAAAATGAATTTACAGCATTCATTCTGAAGAACACGTGTTTTATAAGCACACTGTAGTTATATAAAATTCCTAGTTAAGACTGGCTTCTGGGAAGAACTGTGCCATAACAGGAATGAGGTGTTACAGGTGGTGTAAGTGAAACTTCAGTTTTTATCTAGTATGAATAAATAGGAGATAAAAACCTTTATACTTCCCACCTGTCTTTCTCATCTAAATGGCACTAAAGCCCCTAACCAGTGTCCATGTTGTATTCATGCTAGGATGTTGGTTGGAAGTCAGCTCTCTTTCTTGTATTTGTGAATTACATATCCTGTAACTGCTTTAAAACACTTCTGAGACTGGCTTCTGCAATGCTTGCTTCTGGAATGGGTAAGATTAAGAACCCCAAATTAGCAATTTAGAAATTAGGCAATGCGTTTTAGGACACAGTTGACACTTCTGGCATTGCTTTCGCCTTTTTGTAATCCAGCAGTAAAATAATTCTTACGTTGCCTCAATAGAAAAGCTAATGAGAGCAGTCATTAAGTTCTGTGTATATTTAAAGGCCTTTACCACAAAAGAATGCTCTGCAAAGGTTTTCTTTAACAGAATATAATGTAACTGCATAGGTGCAAGAGATGTCAATATGTAATATTATTCTTCCTAAGTAAATTACACCCTTGGTGACCTGGGCAGATGCTATTCTCTAAGTGAAATTAACTTTCATTTTCTTTGTCTGCTTTAACCATGGTTTTTCTCTAAGGTTGCAGGGGTTGGTAATTGGACAGTCTTAAAAGCACATAACTGGTAGGGAAGACAGTGTTTTGGGTTGGGAAGTGACTGGCTAAGTAGCAGCTCGCTGAAAAATACCGGGTTTCCCCTCTCTGTATGTTTGTATGTGTGAAAGGTAAAGCTGACCTGTTAAATGAATTTCAGTTGTGTCCATCAGTTTTACATTGGTTTGAAACTGGTTTTAGCACCTTTGAGCTCTTTAAGATAAAACTTGTGTTTCAAGACTTATTAGTGGAAGGATACTTCCAATTAGATGATAAATGTAGTCTGTGTCTGCACAATTTATTTCCTGATTTCTTTTGCTGTTGCATGGTCATTTTATGGTCATGAGATGTCTGGTTGTGTTGCAGAACACTATTGTTTTCCTCAGGAAGTACAGAAGAAGCTTTGCTTTTTGCTATCTTACTCTTTGTGCTGGCTCTCTTACACAGAGTGTTCCTACACAGGCCAGTAGCTTTCTAACATCACCCAGATAAGTAACTCATTCCAAAAGTTGATGCCCTGATAAAGCACAGTACAATACTTGTATTAGGGCTTTGAAATTCAAAGCATTTCCAATGTTGCTTATGAATACTCTGGACATTAAAACAGTGATATTTTATGTTTCTTTAAGATGATGACGACTACTTGCCCCCAAACAAAAGACCGAAGAACACAGAGTCAGCTAATGAAGCTGCCAATACTGGGAGAAGAAAAGTGAGAGAGTTCAATTTTGGTAAGATAAAAATTAAAGATTATTTTGACTCTCTGCTTTGTTTTATAAAAGGGTATTTGACAGTTTCACACTGCAGGAGTGAGATGTGCCAGTGCGAGTACTCATTTAGGAGGCCAGGGCTCTTTGTAGATGTTTTGCAGTGGTATCATCATCATCATAGGCTACTGTTGTTTCTCACTATTCAAAGTTTCCATCTAAACAGACACTGCAAGTAATTTAATAAAATAAAAATAAGTCTTGATTTTTCTCAGCTGATTTCTTGGACAAGAAAGTAAGACTGAATTTACCAGTGTAGTGAATTATGGTCAGGAGCCTCTCTAGCTGGTCTTTCTTGATACGTCTGTGAACAGTGAAGGTGTGCTGAGGGGAGCCATATTTGGGAAGGTAACAAATGACTGTTATGCCAAGTAGCCTGCCTTGATCCCTGTGGACACACAAAAAGTTGGGGTCTTTTTGTTAGTGTTCTTTCATCGAATCATAGAATCCTTAGGTTGGAATACACCTGAGATCACCAAGCCCAACCGTTGACCGAACACCACCGTGCCCACTAAACATGTCCCAAAGTGCCACATCTGCACGTTTTCTAAACGCCTCCAGGGACGGTGACACCACTACTTCCCTGGGCAGCCTGTTGCAATGTTTGACCACTCTTTGAGTGAAGAGATTTTTCACGATGCCTTGTGTAGAGTTCTCACTGCAGAAATGCATCCACACACTGTAGTTATTCTGGTTAAAGACAGTTCCCATATGATTTGTGGCAGCTCCATATCTCTCCTTTATTTCTTGTTTTGGTTTGGTGTCTGGGGAGGTATCCCATGAGTCTGTGTTCTTCTGTAAGGTTCTGTGCCATCAGGAATATGTCCTTTGTCACAGTGTTTGAGATGTTTATTAGGAATGCTGGGATATGAGGTCAGTTGAAAAATCCCTGTGGAGCCTCTTCTGACATCTGTTTTGCATGAAACATGTTATTTCATGCTAATTTTGGTGAAAATGAATAAAACATTGTTGAGAGTTCTAATCTCAAAAGATCATTAATACTAATAGGCGGCTCCACATGTAGCATTAGTTAGTTTTGGTTGGGTCAGGGGAACATAATGGCAACGTAAGAAGCGGAGAAGACTGAGCAGTTAATACTGCAGAAGCTTTTGCTAGAATATATTCCCTTAGTGGAAAACACATCAAAGCTTGGCAGGCCAGCAGTGTTTGAAGGGAATAAACAGTGAGGTTGATCAGACATGGAGAGCAAAGGTAATAAAATATTAGGATGATGAAAGTTCGAGTGGAGCTTGCAATGTTGAGACACCAGTTAAAGAACATCCCACAGCTTACCTGCTCACTGTTGCTTCTGAGTTGACTTTATTGCTTATCTCTCTGGGCTGTTCTCAAGAAAACTTTGCTCTTAACCACCTGCTGTGCAGTTAAATTAGTGAGATAGTGTTTTGCAGGTCATGAGATCTTTGTTCCTGGGCTTCCTAAATTGTGTTGAGGTTATTTCCCCCCATACTCACTTTTGGGGTTCACCTACAGAAAGTAGTATTTCTTTACAGTGTTGCAGTGTCTGGTTAAAGCACAAAATAAATGTGAGAAGCTTTGGAGAAATAGACTTCGTTTGTTGTAATGAAAAAAAGAGCAAGTGTTGGTGGTTGCAGTGCTGCTGTTTGGACGTTTCAGAAGACCTTTGTCTAATGAAGTCTAATATTAGGTAATTGGACAGGAGAAAGGGGGTGTTTAATTCTATCGTGAATAGCTGCAGAATGGCAAAGGCACATGCACTCAGAAGACTGGAAAGGAGTTATAGATGCCTGAGCGAGAAATCTGTCTCGTCTGATAAGGACTTTCAGTATTTTACATAACACTGATGAGATCCAGATGCTTGATAGCTGCGAGTTGGAGAGACTTCCTGTATGTCTTGACTGAGTCAGAGATCAGGTACCCCAAGTGGCCTAAGAAACAGGGTGAATAATGTGCTGTATTCTTAGTTTTGTGGGAACAGGAAAACAAAGTGGAGAACAAAACAATTGTAACCAGGGGAAGGAATGAAGTGTCTGGTAAGATGCTTGATAGAAATCAATAGTCTTTGGGAAGAGAGGTTGGATTTCAAAAATATTTCTGAACAAGCTTTTTAATGTTAAAAATACCTTTGCTGAAAGGAGCTGACATTGTAAGTAAAAATCTCTTCCCACGACATTTTTTGGATAAAATCTTAGAGATTTATATCAAAAGCTTCTAGTTGTGTCTTGCAGTTGTGTCATACAATTTCAGTGGAAAAAAAGTCCTCTTAGCTGTTGTCTCACTATGACAGTGATGGAAAGCGTGTATGGTGGGTTTTTTTTCCCCCTTTTGACACACCGTTGAACACAGGTTTTGCCGGCCTGCAGCATGGTTAGAGTTGCTGTGTGCTTTCCATTTTATTTCCCCACAGAGTACTGTGTGGCGTGTTGAGGAGTAGGAATGCACTTTGTACCTGAGCATCGTTTTGTGTGCACTGTGCAGGTTGCGCCTGCTGTAGTGGATGATTTGGAGCGTGGGGTAAATTGAAGAGACTGTGGACAGGCCAGACTGAGGAAGTTTTCAGGGTTGTTATTTAATTGGGATGATGTTTCCCATGTATCAGAAGGTGTATATATAGGAATAGAAGGAAGCCACCACTTGGTGCCTGTGAGAAAATGAAACTGCTTTGCGGAGAGTGATTACCAAAACAGAGTATCAGCTTAGCTTTGTGGTAGGTCTTTGGCTTCGCTACATGAGCACGAATTGTGTGACAAAAGAATGTTTTTACAGTAATTGGTCTGAATCCAAGGCCTTAATAATGCTGACAGTCATGCTGGTTACCTGATAACCCCTCTGAATTTTGAATTATCTCTGTAGCCTAACTTGGCAATTTACTCATAAAATACAAAAGTAGCAAAAAAACCCCAGCGTGCTGATCAAAATGTGAGCCACTTTATTACTAAATTACTAATTGCCTATTCTCTGTGTATCCACCATTCCAAAGAAACATGCCTGTATCGTGGTGTATTTGTTTGGGAACACTACAGGGATTAACACTGGGAGAGAGGGGCACAGAAGTAGTTGGTTGAAACGATCCTCATGGAATATTTGGCCAGTGATTGTGGGGTTTGGTAACTGAGAAAAACGAAGCCTTGACAACAGAATGACTCATACAGGAACAGTCTTGTGAGTGTGCTAACAAGCAGGGGGAGACCACGCTGGGTGGGAGCAGTTCTCCTAAAATTACAGCAACAACCGATATTCAGAGCAATATTATTTATATACTTTTGTAATACGGGTATGACATTCTTTCTGACTGTTTTCTCTCTGATGAAAAGCAGCCTGAGTTTTAGAGGAGGTCGTTTGCTGAGGCTGCCTCAGAGCGTGATGAATTCAAGGGATCTCAACTTTGGGGCAGTTTCCTCTGGGTTACAATCGGAGTCACACAGGTGCCTTTGAAAACCCTAGTCCCAGGACTGTCTGTGTGTGTTCACCAGCTCTGTGGATTAAAGCAGGCTTTGCCCTTTAGGCCAGTAAATTCTGACTTATTTTTTCTGACTCTTACTGGTAAAGCTGCTGTTAATCCATTGTTCTGCAGATCAACAAAAAAAATGCAGTCGGTGGTTGTGCTGCAATTGGAAAGAACTTCATCTGGCTATAACCTGCAGTTAGAGGGGGAAATATTACAAGGTTGAAGTGACAGGCGAATAGAAAACATTGAGCTGAAGACATTTTTATCAGCTAGGAAGCTGTGCAGTGCAGGATAGCAGTAGAAAGGGTGGCAGAAGCAATTATATAAATTTATCCACAAGGATTTTATTTCAAAATATAAATAGGTTAATTGATGTAAGTGATATGGCAGGTAACTAGAATGAAGAGTTTGTGTAGATGCAAGGCAGCATGCCAAAACACCCTTGCCCCTCCAAACAAGGTCTTGTTCTTGCCCACAGCTGAAGCATGCTGTCCTACTGATATCCATGAAATTACATTAAAAAAACTTTACCATGACCACCGAAGTTGTGTACATTGGTCTGACAGTGAATATTTAAACCCCTTTCGATACGCACTCAGAATTCAATCCTCTGTCTTGTCTGATGTAAGAATTTTTTGACAACTGGCAGTGTAATAGCTTGAATGGCCTTATTTTTTGACCTCCGTAGTTATTAGATTCAAGTCTTTGGTGTAAGAAATAAGCTGTAAATACACTTGCTTATTAACTTGTTCTTAAAAGGCCAGCCAGCATCTGGTAACATCTACAAAAGAGTTGTGGCATTTTCCTAAAAGCATTGAGATAGTACAAAAAGCTGTGAAAACATGTGCTCTCTGTCACAGGCAGAAAATTAGATGTTAAAATTCTGTCGTTTAATCCAGCTCTCCATGGAACACACGATTGGATTTGGATAACTTCTGTCTTGCAGCCTGTATCTTCTTTCAGAAATAGGATTTATGGGGATGTTTTTCAACATCAGGACTTTGAGAAATACTGGATTAAGCTAGAGGATGGCACAGTGCCTCCTGACCCAGATAGTTGTACTGATTTGCGCCAGAACAACTTCTTGTACTCACTGTAAGCTTTATCAAGCGTCACTAATTAAGCTTTTCAGTGCCCAGATTTAGATAACTTCAGCAGCTGCAAACTGACTTTACCCCTGACAGTAGTGAGAGCTGCTGACCGAGCTGTCAGAGAATCCATTTTTGGAAGGAACTTTAGCCTGGGTTTTGGGTTTGTGGGTTGTTTTTTTTTTTAAACTTTATTTAACATTTGCACAAGTTTTGGAGATAATCTTAAACATCTTATTCTATCCTTTTTCTTTCTGACTGTATCCATATATTTTAAGGTATGGCCTGTACCATACTCCACAGGCACCTGTATGCAAGTGAGCAGTAAAAGCGCACTGCTCATTTCAGTTGGTGGTAACATAGATGTTGCAAGAGATTCTCGGTTTCGTTTCTAGTCTGACATGTCTTCCTCTCTTCTTTGCAGAGAAATGGAATGCGCGAATTACAGACTTGAGAAAGCAAGTTGAAGAGCTGTTTGAAAAAAAATACGGTATGTGTGACACTCCTTTCCAAACAATTGCCTCTAGTCTTTGGCACCATAAATCACAGCTCTTTGGCATGTGTCTTGTTGGCTCAGGAGAACCAAGGGGTTAAATATTATTAGAAAACCTAAAACTTGGGAAAATAGCTTTTTTGATGAACAGAGTAATTTCAAAATTGGGTGCCTGTGTTGGGCACCTAAGTGTGAAACTTTATTTTATTTTTCAGTTGTGCTCAGTTTCCTGGAGCTCCGGTGTGCTCATGTCTTGGGCTCCCACATTGGAGAGAACTGGCCTTTTTTTCTGTAATTATACGGAGTCCTTAAGTGAAGTAATCTTTTAAAATGGCTCTGGCGAGAGGTTACCACTGATTGATTGTTCCCTTCTGATTATGATTGATTTGCAGTGAAGCAACAATTATATGTTAATGTTTTCTTGGAGAGGAAAAGAAGCACATGTGTTAGACTTTGGAATTTGTCTCCAGATGCTGCACCTAGACATGTTTTGTGCCCACATAGCACAGACTGAAACAGCATCAGCAAAACTTTCAAAATAAATGGTGGTGCTCCTCTGCTGTGAAAAGTGGAAGTGCTTTCAGAATGGATCTTGTGATTTGGAATTATTACGTGTTTTGGATGTGACTGTCATCTGACATTTAAACAGCCCACTGAAAACAACTCGCACCAAGCAAAAACAGTTCAGAATCTGATTCACAGCATTTTAATTGCTCTAGAAAGGAGCATCATTCTTGGTGAATTGCTTTAATTTGGGTTTTGGTGTTTGCACATAGCCAGCCTAAAAATCTCCTGTGGAGTCTGTTGAATAGAGTGCTATTCCTGACTTTCCCTAGCAGGCCAGATGGTATTCAATTATTCCCTTTTTGTCTGTGGATGACAACATTTCATTGATTCACAAACCAATTCCACATCAGATTCCAGTTCTTTCTGTCTGTATGGGCATGCAATTTCCCATTTACTGAAATGAGTTACGGGTGTCCAGAATCCCTAGAATTTTCCTCAGGTTTGTTGTCTTCTGGGGCTGCAGAGTGTTTTAGCAGTGTCAGTCATTGTCATCCATTACAACTGACGTGTCTGAAAATAGATTAATTTTACGTATTTAGATGTAAACTAAATGTGTAAACACAAGATAGTGGCTCACAAATACAGACTAATTTATAAACATGAAACCTCTATTCAATAGGATTTCTGTGCAAAAACATGTAAAGTTCCAAATCTAAGGAGCTTCACTGCAGGCTGTGATGCTGATGGTGTTCTTAGGCTGTCTGAAGAGTATTTGCTAAAACATTTGCTGATTTAAGAGAAATAAAGAATCCCACTTGTAAAAACTTACCTTTTGTACTTATTTAAACAAATAGGATTTTTGTTACTCCGAAGCTGTTCTTACGTGATGCTGTGTAGTAATCTAGATTTTAGTGATGCTCTTGATTGTTTTTCCTGTGGCTAACTGTGGTTCACAATCACTCATTTCCATCAGAGGCTTGTCTGCTGGGTTTGTTACCGTTTTCACCACTTGCCACATCAGCCTCCAGGGCTGAGAAAAATTTTTTTTTTAATTTCTTGGAAGAGTTATATAACTGCAATAAAAATCTAATTTAATGAGGGGCTGGTGTGATACACAACAGCTCTTTTGGTGATTGTTGTGCAGCCCCTTTGACACACGTTTGAATAGGGTTTCTTTAGTCTTTAATGCTGAGAGTCATCTTCAGGTTCATGTCCCTCTCGAAGTATCTATTCTCTGTCTCCAGTTTTTGCCATCTTCTGTATGGCAGTTGAAACCAAGTCTGATTGAAACACAGTTCTTATCACAGTTTTCTAAAATTCTGATATTCTGTTCTCAGAACAGAAGATTAAGATACATACAGTTTTTTCAAAGCTTCTGTGTTTTGTGATAAACATACCTAGAACTGTTCTGCTTCCACGTGGTTGAAAGACTGTTATCCAAATGCCTTTAAAACATAAATTGTTCCATTGCTTTTAAGAATTTGTGAGTTAATGTGAGCGTTTTGTATGCACTGATGTCTGAACCATGGGCCACTTTCACGTTACATTAAGTTGCTTGAAAAGGTGCCCCGAGTAGTTTTGCTTTGAGAAACACTGCCACAACATCACCGTACTCTAATTTGGCCTTAGCGTGGCCTTTCTCTCCTCAAGTCATTTTTTGCATCTAATTTCCATAGCAAAACAACAGAATGTACCAAACTATTTGTGGGCTAGTCAGATGGTAATAGAGAATTCTTGTTGCATGGCCTACAAAATTAGTGTGCCCTGGTGAGTATAAAGAGATCTGCCCTTTTGGTATTTGCAAACCATCATGCCATTCTGCAGTGTTTGCCAGCCTGATAGGTGTATTGATATGATTACGGTCCTCATAACTTAAAGGAATACATTGAGGTGATTTTCCAGCTATGACTGAATCTGTTACTTGCTTTTCATTTCCTTCAAAGATTTTATTAATAGGGCCATGCTTTTTTTGATGGTGTTAGAAGTGTATTGTTTATTTCATTAGTGATTGCTTGGATTTCTAAAATACACCAAAGTTTTAGATATTCACTCAAAAGAAGGGATGCGTGCCTCCAGCGCATTAATAACCCTTGTAACCCAATAGTAGTAACAAGTAATATTAATCAGAACTAATGAACTGAAACATGCTTGGTTTATAATTCAATCTAGATAATTTCATCTTTCAAAATGTGCTATTAAACAAAATGAAAATACTGTGAAACTTCACTGTAGCAGGTGCAGTGAAGAGTAAGGGAAAAAAGGAAAATCTGGAGCTGGATGCAGGTCTGCAGCTTGTTTACTGTGAATCAAGAGTGGTTTTGCTGTAAAACAAAGCCAAACCCCCACAAACTGAATGCTTGCGTGTTTAAGTGTGCTGAGGGGATTATGTCTGTCTGCTAATTTTGATGTTTTTCAGAGTGATATCAAACAGGTAATTTGAGTAGAGCCACAAGCTAGTCTAATGTTTTTATTCTCCTTTTTCCTTAAAGCTCAAGCTATAAAAGCAAAAGGTCCAGTGTCTATCCCATACCCGCTTTTCCAGTCACATGTGGAAGACTTATATGTGGAAGGGCTCCCAGAAGGAATTCCCTTCAGGCGACCATCCACGTATGGCATTCCCCGTCTTGAGAGGATACTTCTAGCAAAGGAGCGGATCCGATTTGTGATTAAAAAGTGAGGAATTTTGCATTTTTGTCCCTATATTACTCATTGTTTTCTGCTGGCTCCACTCTGCTTCATTTTCTCTTCAAGAACTTCCCTAACTGATTTCTACTGATATATTCTTTTGAGGTACTGATGAGTAATTTTTAGTTCATATTCACTCTGATAAATTCAGATCACCGGAGCACCACAGATCTGGACAGATCTCTGCAGTCTTAGGGACTTCCTGTCACGGGCAGATCTCTTTGTACTATTTTAATCTCTGTGACTGTAATACATGTCGAAAGCCATTTTCTTGGGGATATTGTATGCTATCGGAGGCCAAAATAGCTACTAGTTCCTGTGATTTAGTTGGATGCTGTCCTTGGTGTGTCTGGAGGTAGATCTGGTAGTGTCCATGAAGGGAGACCTTAGATGTACCTAGGAAGTGCTTGAGGGCTCACTTGCCTGCTGTAACTAGCCTGGCAGGGTATCATCTGCCTTTAAAGTGAGGACATGAGATTCACGAGATTTCTGGGCTCCACTCTTTCTCTTTCTCCTTTCTTACCTTGGTGTCTTTCCTAGAAGAACCCTGACATTACCTTCTGCAAAGGCAGGTGGGGTTGGATGGGAGTCTGCACCGAGCCTGAACTCGGGAGATGCAGGGAGTGTCCTGAGTATGCCAAGTGCTGGATCTCAGAGCTGCAGAGTACTTCGGGATCCAGCACTGCGGTGCAGCTGGGCAGGCTGATATGCAGCTTTGGTAGTGGGGGGATATTTACCTTTTATAGTTTGGTGCTTCACTTCAGACAGATGTGATGTTTCACACCAGACATGGGCATTTACAGTTGAAGCTGAGTGAAGCTTCTGTGAGTAACAGCTGACGTTTTACTATTGTTTAGTGGCTGCGTTTAGTATGGATGCTAGTTTCTCAAATTTGAGAGGTGTTTGTTCAGTTTCTGTCATCCTAATGCTTGCAGATAACCAGAAAAGAGGAAAAAGGTAGATCTCCTTCTTGTCTCACTTAAATCAGACACTATGATTTCAATATTTTTGCAATCCTGGTACCTACTTTTGTCAAATTTGTCTTAGTTGTTAACAGTAATTAATTTAGGCTGTTCATCGGTTTGTAATGTGTGGTAACTAGAGCAGATCAAAAATCAGTTCAGCTCTGTCAGAAATGTCAGTAGTTTTATATTTGTTGTTGTTCTAATATGGATAAAACTAGATGTATTTGGGAAAGAGAAATGTCTGCTTTGAGATTTTAATTTTTAAATGTTAAATTTTTGATTTGGATCTTTGTTTCTGATGAAGCTCACCTTAGACCTCAGAGATAGTTTTGATGTAATCTGATGTTATCATGAAATGTTGTGACTCAAGTGGATCTGGGTATCGGCCATGACAAATGTTTTTGTCAGTAGGTTTCAAATCAGCTCTTACAATAATTTTATGTTGATTGGATTTTGGTGTTGAGGATCATGATGTCCCCTGTTTGGGTTTTGGGTTTTTTTCTGATCCTTCAGTGGTAACTTGAGACTGTAACTGTAGGCTGTAACTTCTGGTTTATCAAAGTGTATCTCACTGTTGAAGCACGTATCTACAATCTTTTAGGCATGAACTTCTGAATTCGACACGAGAAGATGTACCATTGGATAAACCAGTTGCAGGAGGTAGGTCTTCAAATGTGTGAATTGTACAAGTACAGTCTGATTTCCTGTTTGTCTGTCTTAGTGGTGGTTACCATTTGCTTTCACTAATAACACATTGCAAATAATTCCCCTTGTTTTGAATTTTCTTTAGCTATAAAGTGACAGCAGTTTCCCACTGGCTATCCAAGCCAGTGTTACTAACACTCTTATCAACTGATTTGATTCATCTGGCCAGAAGGAAAAATGGTGAGCTAAGTGTTAGTCTGTTGAGATACAGAGAAAAGGCAGCAGTTTCCAAATAGTTTACTGGATAAGGAACTGTCTGTATCATGGAATAATTGCTTATACATGGTATTCGCCAAAATTAGATTAACTAAAACGCAGTAATGAACAGAGTGGTTACAGTGACATTTATTATTGTAAGATTGGGCTTGCTCAGATGAGGGACTCCCACTTTCACATCGTAGGACAAAGACAATGCACTCTGACCACTTTTGCCGTCAGGAATACTTTCGAGCAGATGCGTGCTCTTACACGTTTTGTCTCCATTGAGCACCCGTCCACAGGTAACAAAAACGACCACGTAAAAACAAGACTACAAGAAGAGACTTTTGTTACAATTGCACTGGTGAACTTTCTGTCCCCAAGTTGGGAGAAAAAAGTTTAGTATGGAAAAAAAGATCGGGTTTTTAAAGAACTGCGCCTTTGCGCGGCCACTAGTTGGCAAATTACTTTCTTGGACTTGTTTTTCTCTTCAGTTGTATTCTACTGTCTCTTGGGCTTCAGGGCATTTTTTAAATTGTCCAATTAAGCCAAGTGCTGAAAGCTTGCATGCCTGAACCAATAGTAGCTACAAATTTGTCCTAACGCTAAAATGCTAACTGTCAACCTCAGCCTGGTTGAACTGTGAATTTTTAGGAATACCAGAGAGATTCTCAGTTCAGAGAGGGACACAAGCATACTAATGGTAGTATCTGCACTACTGCAGCACCATTATGTTGTGTTGTATAGTCATGGTCTTCTGTTGTAAAAAGTATATCAAAGGCTGTCTGTGAAGTGAACATTATGGATCTAAATTAAGCAAAGTAATTATGTCATAAGGATGTCACTTTAACATGTGTTTAGGAATTAAACTTTTCCTGCGGTATAAGTTAACCTAGTGTCTTGAGTCTTAATAACCTATTGTTCCTTCAAGCACCAAATTTGACTGCAAAAATAGTAGGTAGGCTAATGACTGAATCTTAAACTTAACTGTACTCTTATGTGGGTTTCTAAATTAGTCCTTTTCTCTGTTGTTTTTGTCATGATTAACATGGTTACACTGATTATGAAGACAAAGCAGGTACATTATGTATCCTGTAAAACCCCTGTAGCTAAGAAAACTAGTGGTAACCCATTTTTATGGCACAGTGTTATGAACAGTGACTTTATGTTGCTTGTCTTTGCTAACTTGTAATGATGGTATATTCATGAGTGACCTCTGCGTTATTTCTGAGAGAAGAGAATGTCTGGGAAAGCTGTTGGTAACATCTCGGGGAACACAGCTCAGAAGACAGCAGCTGTCTGAGCCTCCTTTCCATCAGTTTTCTTTTCTCCCTGTTTGGATTCCCTCTTTCCCAGTAGCTCACAGTCTCCTCTGCTGCTCCATGTGTCTGCTGCCGTCTCAGGAGAGAGCGCGATGTAGTGCCAGCCCCTGCTCTCAGCTCCTTGTGGCTCTGTGTCCAAGGGGCTCCGTAGCCCTACTAGCTTGTGTCCCCGGCAGGAGAGGAGTGGGATAAGCACAGAAGTTGTATTTTGACTGGCAGAAGAAAGGTGATTTGCATTTGCATTCCTGTTGGAAGTAAGCTGGTCAGGAAGGTTTAATGAAATGGCCTCAGCTCTGAAGCCCTGAGAAGGCTGATACTGGCTGCAAGACAAACCAGTCAGGCAGCGATGGTTTGGCTCAGGAAATGGCTGGAGAAGTGTGAGCAGGTTCCTGTGAAGATGGCCCAACCCAGGGCAGTGCTGTTATGGAGCAGAAGTTGTTGTTTGTGCATGCTGACTAAACCCACAGCGTGACAGCTGTCCTGTATCTTGTTCAAGACTGATGAGCTTCCACTTGTTGGTTACAAAGACATATTCAGAAGAAAAACGTGATTTGTGTATGTGCTTTGATCCCTGTCACCTGACACTGAGGGAACAGACAGGTTCTTTTAGGGATCCTTGGCAGAATGATGATGGCACTAAATAGTAGTTAAATTAAAGCTTTATTTTTTAACAGGATATTATAATTAGCATAGCATAGAATTTGTGATTTGAATGGCACAGGAGATTTCTGCAAGGAAAATCATTGTAGCATAATTTGTAAGTAGCATAATACAGAATTTACAGTACAACTTAACCTGTGGTTTCTGATCATCTAGACCCTCTGCAGATTGGGTCAGATCTTAATACCTAGCTTGCTGTATCAATATAACAATCATAATCTAGACTCAAAAATTATACAAAAGAAGAGTCGCTCACTGAATCGTCAGAGGAAGCAGAGGGTGGTGGAGGTGTCCCTGGCCACTGGGAGGGTGATGGGTCTCACTGTCCAGCAGCAGCTCCAGTTCATAGAATCATAGAATGATTTTGTGTTGGAAGGGACCTTTAAAAGTCATTTAAAGTTCCCCCCTTAGGACTTGTAACTGCTTGATTTTTATGGACAGCCCTCAGTGTGCTGTTACACTTCCCTGTTCCGTGCCAGGGACATCACTGCCACTGGGCTGGCTGGGTGCCTGGGACCTTGAAGGCTGGTGAGGAAGGGAGGAATCAGCCTGGCACCCAGGAACCTTGAGGCCAGTAGGAGGGGGAAGAAGAAATCTGTTTCATTCATCTGCTTGGTTCACAGGACTTTCCGGGCCTGAGAATGAAGGGAAAAGGAACAAATATGTGACCTGCTCGGGCGCAGAGAATGGCTGCTTGCCTTACAAAATGGCATGGGTTATGCTGACCACATTAACAGGGGGGGGGACGGTCACAATCACAAATGACA